TACAAAACTCAACCGCTTCTTTAACAATATATCGTTCAGCAATACAACCCTCTGGTCGACTTCGGCTTTTCATATACCCTTTTAATATTTTCATATAACGTTCAGTAGGGTACATCCATCTCATATAAGATGGTCCGCACAGTTGTGTCTCTTTGACAAGATGAACGACAAGATGAACCATTATGTCAAAAAACGAGGGAGGGAAATACATTTCAAGATCACACAAAGTAACAACTATTTCTTTTTGCAATGTTGGTAAGATCTCAGGATCGATCACCTTGCTGCAAATTGACTTGAAGAAAAAACACAGTTTAGTTATTGCGCTTCTTACTTTTTCTGGAAGAATAGAACGTATACCTATCGGTAGAAAATGTTCCATTATAACATGGAAATCATGCGTCTTTAAACTCTTTAACTTGAGGTCTTGCATAGACACAAGTCTTCTAATATCTGATGAGTAGCCTTCTGGAACTTTACCTCACTTAGGAACTTACACAATATTTTTTTCTCCTTTCTGGATAGAGTGTAAACAGCAGGTGGTAGATATGTTCGTGTTCCTTTTTTCACGGGTCCCAATTCAGTTCTTATTCCCATCTCTACCATGTCCTCCCTTGCTTTAAGACCATCCTTAGACTTCCCTTTTATATTGAGTAACGTACCAATAACACTGTCAAATACATTTTTTTTCAATATGCATAACATCAAGAAAATGTCTTACGTACAAAGATTTCCAATATGGCAATTCAAAAAAAATCGACCTCTTCTTCCACCCACCTGTAACAACTTTATGTGCAAAAGGCTTGCCAAACTGAATACTCACATCTTTCACCTTTTCAAATAATTGATCACCTGTCAATCCAGGTGGAGCTCTACGTTGTTCGGTATCTCCGTTGAACGCTTTTCTCCATCCACGATATTGATGTTTAGAATTTAAGAATCTACGATGACCGAGAAAGACATTCTTCTGACAAAGTTTCAATCGCATCATATCGGTTCCATCTTCCCAGATAGGACACGCTTTTTCACCTTTAATGCTATACCCGGATAGATTTCCGTAGGCTGGAAAATCGTTAATTGTTCCAAACAACATCGCCCTCAAGTTGAAACTTTCTTTCCTATACCCATCATAAACCTCCACACCGTTCTCCCACAAAATCTTCAAATCTTCGATTAAAGGTTCCAAATATACGTCTATGTCATTTCCTGGTTGTTTAGGCCCAGAAATTAACATAGATAACATCATGTGCTTACGCTTCATACATAGCCACGGAGGTAGGTTATAAATCATAAGAATCACAGGCCATGTTCTATGCGAGATACTTTGAATACCGTGTGGGTTCATTCCATCAGTAGACAATGCCAAGCGAAGGTTTCTTGCTTCTTTTCCAAATTCAGGATAATCATTATCAATTTTCATCCACTGTGGTGAATCTTCCGGATGTCGAAACTTTCCATCAACAATTCTTTCATCTGCATGCCAAGTTAAGTGTCTTGAATCGGTTTCACTACGATACATCCGTCTAAATCTCGTAATTATAGGAAAATACCATAAGACTTTTGCCGGAGACAACTTTTTCTTATATCGAGGGGCACCACATTTAGGACACTCATTTAACGATGCATACTCGTTTCGAAACAAGACGCAATCTTTTGGACAGGCATGTATCTTGTCATAGCTCATGCCAATAGAGTACAACATCTTTTTGGCCTCATACGTTCGATTGGGGAGAACATTATCCTCTGGTAGCATATCTTTCATAAGGGCTAATAACTCTGTGAAACTTTTATCCGACCATCCATTGCCCGCCTTTAAGTTGTACAACTTTAATACCACAAACAATCTTGTGAATTTTGTACAACCATTATACAACGGTTTCTCTGCATCGCTTACCAACCTCTCGAACATTTTGGGACAATCATTAAGATCTTCTTCAAGCGCTTCTGCAATCTCTTTAACTCGATCATAATCGTATGTATCTGTGCCATTGTCGTTTGAAGCATACGTCCTATTATCCCCCGATTCATCATTCCCGTTACTTTTCTCACCATGCATATTCCAACATGTATAACTTCTATCAATTCCATACCGTATTAAATGCGATGCCAACTGAACCGCGTCAACCCGATTCCCAAAATAGCAACACAAACAAGGACATGTCATTCGACCGGGGTCTTCGGCGTGCGCAACAACAAACTTAACGAATTCCGATACCCCGTTCTCGTACTCTTTCGACAATCGATTGGAATACATCCATGTCTTATCCATGGTTTACGGTTTCTGAGTCAATCTGAGCTAAATGATAAATTAGAAAACAAAACCAATACTCAAAACTTGCACTTGCTCTTGCACAATCATATAACAAAACCAATACTCAATACTTTTCACTAAATTCATTTTATTCTATCAACTACTTTAGTACACAAGTATAACACAAGAAACCATAAACAAGAAACTATCATTGCTCAAAATCAATCATAAAAAGCACACGAAAAAAACAATATATTAATAGAGTTAACAATATATATATGGCTACCTTTATTAAATATTTTGTTACGCTCTCTATTATTTCTCTCTTAGCTTGTTTTACCAATGCACAACTTGTTAATATAAATGATGTTTGATAAAATAAAAAGCACATGAAAATGTGTTGTTTTCTACTAATATTTATTCCATAGAAGTTGTAAAAATAATCTATATTCATAATATGTGAGGTATTAGCCAGTAGCCACACAAATAAGTTGAAAATTAAGATGAGTTATCAGTTCAAATATGTAACAATTTCTAAGAATTATTAGAAGATAGTCACATCTTTATTCATACAAAACTATTCTAGAAATTAGAATCAAAGCAAGCATAGAACAATTTATTCATACAAAACTATACTAGAAATTGAAATACCTAGAGCTGAGTTGTGTAACTTTGTGTTGTATATTGTTGTGATTTCTGATGCAGCAAACTTTGTGATTTCACCTTGCGTTTCTCCTGTGGCAAGTGGTGGTCGTTGTTCTGATGAAAGAGTACTGATGAACGGAGGCGGAGGTCCTGATGAGGGAGTCCTGAAACTGCCCCCGGTGGTCCTGAACAAGAAGACTGAGGCAGAGGTCCTGATGAACGGAGGCAGAGGTCCTGAACAAGAAGACGGTGGCAAGTGGTGATCGTGACGAAAATCTGCTCGTAGATGCTAACGGCGGCAGAGCTCTGGTTTAGGGCTTTGATGATTTCGTGAAGAACAATAGAAAAGTGATGATACAAATTTTTGATAATTATTATAAAATTACCTACGAAAGCACTTTTAAAAGCGCTTTCTAAAGGTCACCTATAACAGCGCTTTTTAATGTAAAAGCGCTTTCTTAGCATATCCTATAGCAGCCCTTTTAAAAGCGCTTTCTAAAGGCCAACTTTAGCAGCGCTTTGTAAAAGCGCTTTCTAAGGCTAACCTTTTGCAGCGCTTTTGAAAAGCGCTTTCTTAAGGTACCCTCTGAAAGGCACCCTTTAGCAGCGCTTCTCAAAAAGCGCTTTCTAAGGGTGACCTTTAGCAGCGCTTTTGAAAAGCGCTTTCTTAAGGCACCCTTTGAAAGCGCTTTTTTTAAGCGAATTTTTTTTAAAACCTACAGCAGCGCTTTTTCCTAAAAGCGCTTTCGTATGTGTGCTGCTAAAACTTATTTTTGGCGTAGTGAATATCTGGAAAAAATCAGGGAATCTATGGTTAAAACTACAAACTAACCTAATCATCTAAAAATACTATACTAAATAGAAAATACTACATGACATGTCAAAAAATATGAGCAGGCGATTCTAGGGTTCTAGAGTAGAAAGGACAAGAGAGATCCACTGGAATAAAAAACGCCATTTTTGAGTAAATTATCTTTGGTGTAGGAATTTTATCCTCAGAAGTTACCTTGAGAAAATAATTTCTTTAGAGGAGCCCAGTTACTCCATATACTAGAAAGGAGGCTCTCCACTAACGAAACCTAACAATCATTAGGAAACTCACGGGTGAGAAGATAAGAATATGTAGAAACAATTAAGTAAGAGTCATCTTTAGAGTGACACCGTTATCACTAACTAGATTTGGAGGAAGGAGTAAAGTTCCTAACAGTTAAGAGAAGATCAACTATTAACACATGCCCACGCTAAAAAATACAAATTCTCTTCCACTTAAAATATCTAATTCTAAGATGAATATTTCCCATCCAAACATCACTCCAAATTTTAGTAAGAAGACTGAATATAACCTTTTTGACAACAACATCCTGTAATTAATTTGAGAGATCAATCTTTTTGTCATCTAAGAGAGACACTCATCTCCGCCAAAGAGACACAGAATAAAGAAATGAAGTTTTACCATCCAAGAAAGAAGAAGTTAGAGTAACACTATATCTAACATAAAGATATCACGTCAGTTGTCATCTATTTTTATTTGTTTATTAAAAAAAATTGATTATTATAAAGAAATTGAGATTTGTACTAATATGAAACTAAATATAAATTTCTTTATAAAAAATAAACGAAAAAATATTATGTAAATTTTTACAACGTGTCATTAGAATGAATTAGTTAATAGTAATAAATATTTCATCATTTACATAATTGTCAAATGTATACGAATAGTGTTCCAACAAAAATGTTTACTCTTCTTTTTCAAGTAGCCTCTTTCAGTTTTTAACATTTTATTAATTGTTTCTTATTTGTATAATTTAAGTAATATTACAAACATTATTATTTCATATACATTTATTATTATAAAATATTAATAATTATTTAGAGCGGAGTACCAGAGTTTTATTATGTAATAGACCGTTCTTAAAGTCATTTCAAGAAATAAAGAGACAACTTCTCTACCAGTTCTTTTTGTGGTTCTCCTAAAATAAGATAATAATATAAATCTGTCCACCCAATTATTAAGATCGATTATTTATGTATATATAAAATAAACTGTATCACCACTCTCTCATAATAACTTGAAAAAGGAAGCTCGAAGCACCATTGTTTTACAAAAATGGAAGAAAAAAAATGGATGATACCCACTTCACTCTTCCTCCTAACTTTCCTCATCCTTTTGAAATTAATTCAAAAGAAACAATCCAAGCACAAAAACCTCCCTCCTTCTCCACCATCTTTACCACTCATAGGCCATCTCCACCTCATGAAACAACCCTTGCATCGAAGTCTCCACAACCTCACAAATACCTACGGCCACATCTTCTTCCTCCACGTCGGAATACGAAACATCCTTGTCGTCTCTTCACCATCCGCAGTAGAAGAATGTTTGTCAAAAAATGACATAACATTCGCAAATCGCTCCGTAACACTCGCTGGAAAATATCTCAATTACAATAATACAACAATAGGGTTTTCTTCTTACGGTGAACGTTGGCGCAAACTACGTCGTTTAACAACTATGGAGCTTTTCTCGTCCAATCGTGTTGCCATGTTCACGAAAGTTCGAGAAGAAGAGGTGAAATTGTTGATTAAGCAAATATTCCAAGGGTGCAAAGGAGAAATAATGTCAAAGGTTGATCTCAAAACAAAAACTTTGGAGCTTTCTTTCAACATCATGTTGAGAGTGATATCTGGGGAAACGATACTATGGTGAAGATGATGATGTTGCCATAGGAGGAAAGGAGTTTCAAATTTTATTGAATGAATATATAGAGCTACTTGGAAGTGGAAGTTTGAACGATTATTTTTCAATATTGAAATGGATTGATTTTCAAGGGAAGAAAAAGAAGATGGTGAAGTTGATGAAAAAGATGGATAGCTTTCTTCAGAAGCTAGTTGATGAGAAACGAAGAAATTGGAGCAATGACCAAAGAAATATGACGTTGATTGATGTTATGTTAGACTTACAACAAAAGGAACCAGAATTCTACACTGAGGAGATTGTGAAAGGTGTTGTTCTGGTGAGAATTATTAACTATACTGCTTTCCTTCTTGCACACTAATTATAAATTTAGTTGAAAATTTCATATTAAAAATAATTAATAGTATAGATTATTTTGTGTATGAATATTATTAGGGCCACCCGGTAAAAAAAACATGTCATATATATATATATATATATATATATATATATATATATATATATATATATATATATATATATATATATATATATATATATATATATATATATATATATATATATATATATATATATATATATATATATATATATATATATATATATATATATAAAGGACGTGTGAAAGTTAAAGCAAATTGAAGATGAAATAATAAAGTAAAAAGTAATCTAATATATACATAAATTTATTTTTTACTAATTTTGAAAGAGGAAGATTTTGATCCAATTTAATGAATTATTTTATTACTAATTTTGATTATATTTATAATATTATTACATTATTTTATTATATATATATATATATATATATATATATATATATATATATATATATATATATATATATATATATATATATATATATATATATATATATATATTAAAAGACACAAATATATATATACACGCATTCCTTCAATGTCCTTCATGGTGACAACTTTACATGTGAATAAAGCTTTTCTTATAGCATTATCGATTTTTTCCAAGCTCTTAGCTCTCCATAAATCTAACGGACTAAGGAGGCTTCACCCAAATCGATAGAGTGCATAACATATCTCTTTTCAAATAAAAGCCAGGTTGACATTCCCTATAAAACATAGACATGTTATTAATAGTGTATGGTCCTTTCATAATCAAATCATCTCTATTCTTGAGAGATCAAAATTTCAAATTCAACCTGTAGAATTTGACTGGAAACAAAGACATGTCAAAAGATAGAACACCAGTGCAAAAAACAAAAGAAAGCTACAATCACCAAACAATGGAGTGCCAAACCTAAACAATCTCTTAAACAACTTGATTAAGTTGCTACTCCAAATAGGATAACTACTACTAACTCAAAAGAAAGTGGAAGTAAAACCTAGACAAATGTGGGCAAAATCTAGAAAGATAACGGGAAAAGTATCATGATTGAAAATAATTCCAAGCACCCCAAGTTTTATGTCATAATGGATTCGAGCCACTAAAGATTTTAAATGATTTTATATTGACATGACAATGTGTCATGATTATTTTATAGAATGTATAAGGGATAAATAAAATAGGTAAAATACAGAGATAAGCAACTGTCTCAATAGTCTAAAACCAAATATTGCTGTTTTAGTAGAAACTAGATTTAAACAAACAAAACATGTATCTGTCAGAAGAAAATTGGGTTTGAGATGGTCTTTTTTGGATAACTATTCTTAACATGAGAATGGTAGAATCTGGATGGTATGAGATTTTACTAGAGTAGAGGCTAAATTTGTTTCTAGTACTGCTCAAATTCTACATTGTGGCACATATTCTTTACATGACTCATTCATGTTTTAGTTCACTGCCTTATATGCTTTCAACCACTTAGATCAAAAAATGGATTCTACGAAGAGATATCTAGGAACTTCACAAACAAGTACAGAGACCTTAGGACTTCACGGGAGATTTTAATAATGTCCTTTAAACTCATGATAGGATTGGAGGAAACATAGTCCATGAAGAAGAGTATATTGATATGGTGTCTATGATAGATAAAAGTGGCTTATTTGAAATGGGGAGTGTAGGAGACCACTTTGCATGGTCCAATAAACATGCATATAAATCTATCTACTCCAGAATATAGAGTTATTGGAAATGTGGAATGGCTTCAGAAACATATGGACATCACTATGAATATCATGGCACCGAGAGTATCAGATAATGAACTGCTTTGTTTGAAAGGAAATGAGCATAAACCTATCAAGAGAATTCAATTCAAATTCCTGAATAGTGTTACAATCATTTAGAGTTTTTTAGAAGCATTCTCAGTCAATTAGAGGCTACCTATGAAAGGGGGTGCTATGTATGTTTTGTGGAAAAAACTGCATAAACTACAACCTATTATAAGAGGCCTGAGCAAACCTATTAATGGCATCAAAATTCAACTAGATAAGGTAAGGACTGATTTGTTGGAGGCACAAAATTCTTTAATACAAGATAGAATGAATTGTAACTTCCTTAGTTTTAAGGATTGACATCAATATTTGTAAAACAAATGTAGCATCAATATGTTAGATATGATGTATTAATTTGTTAACATGAACAAATTGAGTAAGAAGTCTTATCTTATGTTAGGACATGTTGAGTTAAAGTATTTCAACATCTGGAACAACATGTCGAATAAGATGTCCTATGAAGGAGCATACGACATTGCGCCTGAACTGAAGTGGACAGTTAGATTCTATTATGATTTAACTGATGTAGAATATTTTAGGAAATATTATGCAATCCTATATGGAATTGATTTAAAGTTCAAGAAGAATCTAATTAGAATATTGAAGAATATAGAGTTTCTAAATTTGGAGATAATTTAGGAAGATTTGATTGAAGACCTTGATTGTAGTAGAAGTTACAATTATTTGTTTCAACTGATATATTTTAGTTTGAAGGCCCAAATCTAATTGGATATAGGTTATAAATAGAAGTGTGTGTAACCTAGTAAAGGCACGAGCTCAAGATGTAAAAGTCTAGGACTTTGTCTTTTTGCCACTCTTTAGGAGAGTTGGTGTAAGTGAACCACTCGGGTTGTGAGATGGTTACTGGTGTTCTCACTCAGAAGCTGTGAAGTAATAAGTTGAGTATGGTGTTTGTGCAAGGGTTTATGTTTTTGCCTGAATGTTGGAGTGGAGTCTTCTTGTTTGTGTTCCTTTACATATATATCTGATGAAAGACTCCTGGTGGTTTTGTGTGTTGGGGATGCAACACACTGTTCTCCTCTAAAGGTGTATCTCATGAAATGGTGATACTTGAGGAGAGGTCCGACTAGCTTGCTAGAGCAGCCAAAGATACTTGGTGTTTATCTCAAGTCCACTCATAAAGGCACTCTTATGTGATTTTGTTGAAAAGAGATATGGTAGAGGCAATTTACTTTTGTTTCCAACCCTAAAAGGCCAATCTCCAGGCTTTGATAAAGGATCTCTTGATGTGTTTCTTGTAAAGGAAATTGATGTCCTACCAGATGTTGGAACATCAAGCCATCGGATTATGCAGAATCTGATTGGACAAAGGTAGGGCTTAGCAGATGCTTGGGGGCTAAACAAATGTGTCTTGAATCACATATGTTTGGAACCTACTCCTGATATGGAAAAGGAGGCATCTATATCTAAGTTTCTTTGTTAGAAACATGTCTTAGATAAGTATGTTGGTCAGGACATGATCAACATATTTGACACTCTTTAGATTAGTTTATTTATGATGTAAGTGAGTTGGTGAGTAGTGGTTATGCTTTGTTATGGGAGTTTGATAAAGGTATCTCATCCGGATACTTTATATGTGGAGGACAAACAATAGTGCTAAGAACTTTCTCTCTAACATATGGAAGATCCTTCTGATCAAGGGAGACAAGTTTATGGAATCTTGTTTATAGACATGAAACAAATTCTGGTTAAGGAAGTAATGCATTAACCACAATGTGTGTAGCTACTGTATGACTCTCAAGGAATTCTTAGCAGTTAATAAGGGGAAGTCCTTAATATGAATCTAAAAGATCTTGAAGAAATGTCACACATAATGTCTCGACATCTGTGCATTGAGGATTTATTTTTCTCAATATGTCTGGTGGTACTTCTCATAGGATGAAGGTTGTTTACTCTAACTTAGTATCTCTATCAAGTCTATGAGAGCGTGAAACTCTTGTTCTGATGGAAAAGTCATCTAAGGGATGGTTAACATTGGAGGTGTGTCAACCAGAATTTTGAGGTTGATTGGTGTCTGCACTATTAAAATATCATCTAATTCACCTAAGATGAGCATTTCAATTATTTGAAGCAAGGATGAGTTATTAGTTTGGGACCAGAGGATTATGGTTCCCTGTTATCTATGGGAAGTTCCTCTCTCTACTAGGGTTCAATCATGTGGTGTCCTCACATAATGGAACAAATGTGTTTGCAAGGACTGAAGGGAATCCTTGTGTATCGGGAGTAGCAAAATTAGTCTGAACAATCTCCTTATGGTGAAACATGACCACTAAATGCCATAATTGTTATATTCTGTTCCAAATACCTGTTAGAGTGAATTTCCTCTTTAGATGCAGAAGGATGACATTCGACATCTCATAGTTATACAGGAGGTCTGAGCATTGTGCTTATAAGAAGAAATCTTCTTGAGGTTATTGGTCTGAGTTTGAAGGTTGATCAACTACTGATGGTTGATCCTCTTGTATCGCTTACAAGTTATGAATTACGATGGTGTCTCCAGAACATAGTTAATAGGAGAAATCCATGTGTTTGAGACTGATGTCGGATCTGATGTTGGAACGTCATCTCAAGGTGTGTTTTATTCCTCCATCCAAGAAAGTTGTTGTTATCCAGAGTGGAGCTAAGGTCAAGCCACTGACCTAATTTGGAATATTTTATGACATAAATGAATGTCATCAGCTGGTGCCAGACGTATGCAAAAAAGGATGTCATACCAAATGTCTTACCTTGTGTGAGAAGGTAATCTTATCTGACTTTTGATAAATTCTTTGACGGGAGCTGAGTATTTATTTATCCTCTAAGGAGATTGTGTATGAGACTTATGGTTAATACTTTGACGGAAGACAAAGTATCTGTCTGAGGAGATTATGCAAATATGCATTCTGAGCATTGTGGTTCAGAGAATATGTGAGAGTTTATTTCTCTCTGTGACATTCAGGTGTTTGAAATAAATTGACTAAGTTGCACTGGATGTGTGTTCTAATGAGAGCTTCTTAAAGGATTTCTCTGCATAATGAGTCCTTTAAATAATAGATCAAGAACTAGTTTGATTGGGTTTTGTATTATGGAGATGATGTCCCACATGATGTCTTAACATCATGATTGTTGG